GGTCCAAACTCTAAAGCAATACTCGATATGGGTGACAAAATTCACTCGAAGAAGATTGCTACAGAAGCCAAGGTCTTAGACTTAGTTTACTCAAAGGGGTTATTTTTTTGGATTTCTACATCAGGATTACTTTTAAGCGGGAGGAAGTTTTTTGAAAGTATATTGTAGACTGGATTTCATGTTCGGCTAAAGATTCATGCTTTCTGTAGGTTAACATGATACCTGGATTCGATGGAGAGATAGATGATGAGGACATGTGCGTTAAAGTAAGATAATTCATTTTGTTTCGATTTTATGATGCCTCCTAGAGCCTCATTTTCCTATCAAATGTCTAAGATCATAGTCTTCGCATACTCTGTAGTAAAAATAAAGGATAAAGAATAAAGCTCTTGGCGTTGATCAATCCCTGAGAGATGAGCCGTGTGCATTCGACTTCATTAGGCATGGCTGGAGGTGACTGAATGCATGTTTGGGCTTCATAATGACTCCTACCTTATCTGTGCAGGTTTCATACCAGTAGCACAGAAGCAACGGCAATCGCAAGGAGCAAACTTCGGGCGATATGACATAGGGTAAACGCTTTAAGCTATCTTAACCTTTTCATTTACTGCCTATTGTTTTTAACGGCAGGGTTTGTTGCGAAATATAATTTCTATAATGCTGAGATGTTTGCAAAACTCCAGACCGCAGGTGTCTGCGGTGGGGAACAAACACGCCATTGTCCTTTTCGGGGAGTAACGCTTTCACCACCACACCATGCGGATCCTTTGTTTTGCCTGTCTGTCAGCTAGTTCTATCGCACCCGTCAATGGGATTGATGTGGGGAGCCCACATCGGCATTGAACGCAGTTAAATTGAGACTATAGTTGAAATCACAATGTTTTACCTTTTATTTTCTGCCTACTACAATCTTCACGGCACCAATTAACGGTAAGTCTGGCACCAATTTTCCGACCCCGGATGGATGGAGAGTTTGGTGGTCTAGGGGGCAGGGATCGATCCCAAGTGTATTATAGGGCGCCTCCGACCACCGAGCTACAAGCGCCGCTCTATAGAGTTCAGTTTAAATACTCGTTGTTTTCATGAAGTCAAAGGTGGGACCAACTCTAAGCAGTGTTTTCGAGGACAATTTTATATGCACTAGTCTTAGGCGAGGATGCTCATAACGCAGTTTTCGGAGACGCGCTGCGATTCACATGCTCCCATCACTGCACCCAAGGCTCACCAACCCTTCTATCCCTCCGGAGTCGGCAAATAGGTACCAGAGTTGTCTAGGAGGATGGCAGCACTGGCTCGATACATCGGTAGGCGACTGCGAGTCCATTAAAGGTCAGAGATGTATTCAGTCGCCTCCAAACGATGCCTAATGAAGTCGATTGCATAGCACATCTCTCAGGGATTGATCAACGCCGAGAACTTTATTGTTTATCTTTCTAAACTGAAGCGAATAATGAGCCGCTTTTCTTTTTGTGATCTATTTGTCTTATAATCCAATTGAATTGAAGGTTGCCAACGATATTGGATACCCAGTAATGATTAAAGCTTCAGCTGGAGGTGGTGGGAAAGGAATGCGGATCGCATGGAATGATAAAGAAGCTCGAGAGGGCTACAGGTATGGGCTATGAAATCAGCTCTATATAGCTAAAGGTTTCTTTTAAAAATGCCTTCTCCGGAAGCGTCGTAGACTTTGGCCGGTCAGTTGATTAGCTATTTTTAGTTTGACTTACATTTCCATTTATACCGCTATAATTTATACTCGTTCCAGTTATATTGGTATTATTCATATCTGTTATACGGACCCTTCTAATATCTAGGTATTCTTAATATTAACCTCAAATTGGTTTGAAAATGTTTCTAAGTCTTTTTCGCTAGACATTTTAAGCAAAACCTTCGTTGTACAAGAATAAGCTTTAGGCTTTCCAAGCAGGAAGCAAGGTCATCGTTTGGTGACGATCGTATGCTTGTTGAGAAGTTCATTGACAATCCACGACATATTGAAATGCAGGTTAGATAGGTTTCAGGAATGGTTCTCATAAAAGACGTCGTTTTCTTCCGTGAATAATTTGTACAGGTGCTATGTGACAAGCATGGGAATGCCATATGGTTAAATGAACGGGAGTGTTCTATTCAACGTCGAAATCAAAAAGTTATTGAGGAGGCACCGAGTAGTTTTGTACCACCAGATATGCGTCGGAGAATGGGTGAACAAGGTGAGTAGTTACAACGAATAATTTTCTTCATATTTTTGTTGAGCAAACGCGAGGTGTTACTATTCTTTGTTCACGATTAAGCTGACGTTTCGGCGGATTT